GTCGTGAGATTCAAAATATTGTAACACGAAAATTATTGTTGCACTTCTGAGCATAACTTTCAAATTTAAAAAATCTAAGAAAATAAAATTTGGGACAAAATTTTTTTAAAATTAATAGACTCCGCTTTTAAAGCTGAATTGAATGGTGGTAAGTTTTTTAAAATCCAATTGTGGATCACATAATATTTCAAAAATTTTAACTTTGAGTATAGATGATCTGCACTGTAATCTCATAGATGATGATATTAAAAAACACTCCTTTGGAATGATGGTTGGAAGATATGCATATGGTGATGAGGTATACATTAATTATGTAATAAAATAATATATATACAGTATATATTAAAAATAATTTATCCATTACAAAAAAATATTATTAAAGGTTGTACTAATTCAATTTACAACTTTAAATGAAAATCCATCAAAATTTGACTTGCACATATCACCACCAGTTTGGACCTTCACCGGCCATGTAAAAGATCCTTTCAACAATGATGATGATGATTTCATGTTCAGGCTGAACAAAGACATATACAATGGTTATACCAAAACTACATCCAACACATCGGTGATTTGTACATTAAAAAAAAATGAAGCTTCATATATAGAAGATGCAGTAAATAAAAAGCCTATTGTTTCAATATATGGTGAATTATTATTATGTGATGGCTCAATCTTTAATTTCCCTAGTGTAATCAAATGAAACTATCAAAGCAATAACAATGCAGGTACACCAACTAATGGAGGCGAAAAAGTAAAAAAAAATATCAAATAGATATAAAGACAAAGATAAAAAAGAACAAAAAAACAAAATGTTTAATGTTAATAAGCCTTCAAGTTCCATAAAAAGGGGAAACAATAGTAACAATTCCATATACTTGGTTGATGATGTTACAAGTAAGTATCATTAACACACTATGTTGTTGTACCATTTCTTATTAAACCTTCTAACCAAAACCTTATGATATCAAAAAAAAGATTCAGAAGGTAAGTGTAAGATTGTTGACACTTCCAAAAACAATAATGAAGAAGTTGAATATGAAGATAGCAATACTATTGAAGATGCTGGTGCTGAGGCTAATAATGGTGATGATTAAAAAAAAATTTTTCACTAAATTGATCAATAATAAATAAATTGATGTTATCTCTCTTTTTTTTTATTTACATATATAGTATATATACATACAGAATATGTTATGCATTAGGTTTTTATACTATCATCGTTGATTTTATTATTGATTATATATATATATTTACAATAAAAACTTGAATTCAATAAATTGAACAAAAATAAAAAAACTTATAAATCATCTATCAATTTGATAAATGGGGCATACTCCAACAAAACCAGACAAAGTGAACATTTTATTATGTGATATGAATGAGAGGCTGATTGTGATGTG